AGGTGAGCACGCCACGCAGCATGCCTGCAGTAGTGAAGATTGAGCACAAGAGCAGCAGCCGATGGTGCAAGAAATAGCAGCAGCAAATGGTGCAAGAATGAGCACAAGCAATGCACAATCCCTGGCTGCTCAGTATAGGAGCACAATCGACACAAGATCACAGCAGCTAAAACATGGCTTCGTGGCTGCGAGATTAGGGTTTCAAAGCATACTCACGTATCAATGCTCTGTAGGTGCGGGAATAGAGTTTACGGGATAAGGGGTTGGCGGGGTTGGGGTTTGAGGGAATCGCTGTGAGGTTAGGGTTTGTGGGGCTGACCTGCTGGCTGGGGCAGCAGAGCCACGAGATCCGCCACGCCAAGGGCGTCACTCAGCGGGGCGATCAGCGCGTCCACCTGCGCAGCGAGCGCCGACACGTCCAGATTCAGTGCACCCACCCTCTGAGTGAGCGCCGCCACTCGCTGACTCAGCAACGCGCGGAGGTTGGGGAGGATGCCCGCCAGGTCCGCGTTGAGGGAGGTAGCGCGCTTGTTAATAGCGGGGATGCTGCCTGTTAGCGACGAGATGCGCGACTGGAGTGCGACGGGTGTCGCCTGGGGAGTGGCGCCGCCGGGTCGCGTGATTCTAATGTAAAGGAGAAGGTCGAGGTTCGCAATGCGTGCGTTTAGAGTGTCGATGCTGTTTCGGAGGGCGTAAATCTGCGCTTGAAGCGCCAGTGTGGCCGCGGATGCGTTGTCGTTCAGTGCGGTAGCGAGCTTGTCGAGCGATTGCGTGAGCGCTCCTTCTAGTGCCACGACCTGCGCTTGCAGCGCGGATATTAGGTCGGACACGCTAGTAGTGATCGTGCTCGTGACTTGGGCTGGTCGGTTCGGGATGCGATTCCCGAGCAGTCCGTTGGAGCCGATTCTAGCCTGTGCGCATGATGCAAACAGCGCCGTTACAAGCAGTGCCGCCACAAGTGAGGACGCTAGAGAACGCGCCATACGGGAAACAATATAGTAGGGAAAGAGTGCTACGGATCGCTGCTGGTACCAGAACGTACGGATTTTACGCTACGTAATTTACTCGGGTGGCTGAGGAAGACAGTCGTGAGCGATTCGGGGCGATTGCGAAATGTGGGAGGAAGGTTGTGACTGAGGGTTGCTTTAGCAGGCTAAGATTGTGAGATTCAGATTGCGGCTAACCCTCGGCTAAATACTCACTCGTAAACGCTCGAGCCAAGCCAGTAGCCTTGGGAAGGAGTCGATGCGGTGATTAACGGCTGGTTTGCGGCGATCGAATGGGGTAAGCGTGGGCGACGATGAGTGAGGTGCGGCGAACCTGCGATGGGCTGGGCAGGGGTTTGCACCGAATGCGATTCGCTTCACGCGGAATTGCTGTGAGCGAAACTGGCGAACTAGCTCTAGGAAGGAGAGGTCGCGCCCCGTGTTACCTCAAAGTTGAATGTGAGAAAATCTATCCGATATTAGCATAACCTGGTTTTATACAATCTAAAGGATATCACTTCAGTGTTACATTCAATGAAAAAACCTGATGACCATGACCTCTCCGCCATGGATTCCGCCTGACAGCTTTAAGGAGCTCGTTCGTGAAGGCCACGTGTCAGATGGTAACATTGATCACAAATTCGGAACCGCATTTACGTTACGAAGCTATTGTACAATTCTCGTGTCCAACTAACAGACATTGTACCTTATGCTACAAGGGGTATCGCTTTCTTATCAGTTGCTTTCTTATCAGGTCTTACGATAGTCTCTATGGCTGCTCAGCGCGTCATTGTCCAGGGGTGACACCAGTACATTAAGTCGACAACAAGGGACTCGGCGAGGATTTCATACTTTCGCGCCATTGGTCTGCTATACAAGATTACAGAAGTAGGCTACTCTCAAGGCTATAGCCCTATTGAGTTTGTAAACGATTGTACAATATACTGAAAAAGGCATTGAAACCCTTGTTGTACGGTGTACTGCTTGGTTGAAATGTTGCGGTACCAGTCAGGGAATTCGCGTACAGTTGATGGGTACCACGCAGAGAAGATGGGTACCACGGAGGGAGTATGGGTACCACGAAGGGGCGCGCATGATCTGACGGGTACCATCGAGCCACGTAGGTTAATCCTGACGTCAACGGGCTCGATGTTGGTTATCCGGAATGTAATTACCCAATTAACAACTGCGTGGAAATGACAATGACAATGCTACGCTGGCCGCCATGGATTCTGCCTCCTTTGACCCGGTCAATGTCCTCGCTAAGAGTCTCGACGCGAGCATCTGTTCTTATTAAAAGCTTCGCCTGTTTCTTACCTACCGGAAGACCAGGCTTTCAGTTTACGCAGTGTCATCATTGCACTATGTCCAGGATGACTACCAGGAACGGGAGGGTCCGCAATGCTGATGGCTCTGCTAGTGTCACCCTAGACAAGCCCAAGGAGGTGCCGGTGGTTGTTGAACCTTCAGCTACATCAGCCATAAAGCAAACGGCTGACCTGTTCACAGAGGCGGATAAAGATGCTCTTCAGCCCACTGGGTCGACGCAAGATGTGAGGGAGGCGGTTCGGAACTTGCTTACTGTTGGCACTGGCTACAAGTCGCAGCTTCCGGACGACGGAGTTCAAGTCACTGCTACCAGTGGAGCTACTTGCGTCACCCTGCAGGAAGGGAAGATGGTGCTGTCAACAAATCTTCAAAGACTGACGACGACGACGAGGATGATGGCTACTGCAGTGACGATCTTGAAGAGCGTTACAATGCGCAGGCGAAGAGTGAAGTTGCGCACCAGATCCGCTTCTCCATTGTCCTCTTGATTCCGATCACCTTCAAGTCGGAGACCATGCATGCGCAGGAGACGCTACGTGCACTTTTCAATCTGTGGAAGAAGGATCTGAACATGGAAGAAGAAGCTGACGGTGTTGTTCCTGAGCAAGAAGCAGTACTGGAGGCTGCAAGTTACCTTCGACCGGGCTCGCGACGCCAATTTCGTGTGGAAACATGGGATCGTGCATACTTGCGTTGATGGGAAGCGTATCAAATTGGACTGGCAGCACCCGGTGGACCCGGCTTACGTGAAGGCGCGCGCTGCAGACCCGCTGCTGGTTGAATTACTGTTCAAGGGGGTGGACGCGGTGATCACGCCGGAGATGCTCTGTGGAATGATGGTGAAGGTGAAGCTGGAGAAGCGTGGACGGTCGGCTTTCAAGGAGGGAAGCTGTTTCCATCGGGTGGTGAATTCACAGGGATGGACACGGACAAGGTTAAGGGCCTGGTAAAGCAACACGAGGGGATAAGTACTGTTGGCGTCATCTGATCGAGGATCCGACCTTCCATGTTAAGCAGCTGCTAGTGCATTATCCCTCCCTCAACTGTGCCTACTGCTCGGGGTACCATATAACGAGGTACCTTGATGAGTATGTGACGGACAGGCAGTGTTAACATCAGCAACTGGAGCCTATCCCTGGGACGGCTTAATGGGATTAATGGTAATGGATGGGGGTTGTTTCTGACTTATATGTTTATTTTTTGCTCGAAGCTTCCACGGTGGTGCGCAGCCGCCTCAGACAGGATCACAGATCTGACCAGGCTCATCTTGAAGGACCCGGCCGCGGTGTTGATCTCATCTGGGGGGAATCGCGAGAAGTGGATTTGCGTCCAAGAGAGTTGTGAGAAAGCAAACAGGGTGTCCTTCGCACAGGCAGCAGAGCATGTTGTATCCCAGCGGCACAGCAATGGTCTGGTGTCATGCTCAGTGTTACGCAGTTCCAAGGCAGGCGTCACCTTGGTTGCGGCGAAGAAAGAGTTTGGTGTGTGACGGGGTGCATCAGTTCTACAAAGGAGGGAGAGTTAACATGCTGCGCAGAGGAGATGGCACAAAGGGAGATTAGTAGTAGGTGGAGCTGCACCAAATGCTGTACCGTTGGTTGTAGTGAGTCACCGAGTGCTGTTGTATCACTGCCCTATGGATGCGTGGGGACCACAACAAGTGTTAAATAATGGATAACACCAACCGGTTAACCATCGTGTCCCTGAACGTCAACGGCTTGGGAAGTTTATGGAAGTAGCAGGCTGTGAAAAGGTGGATAAAAACAACTGCAGACATAGTGGTCATGGCGGATACAAGGGTTGCGGAAGACCATAACTTCTGGACAGAACTCCGGCCCAGTAGCATGGCTGTGGTGGCAGCACCAACCAGAGCAAGTGGCCCGGCCATCCTGTGTTTCAAGGACGGAGTGCGGATAGAGGATATTCAGCGGCACCCTACAGGGAGATTGCTCCATGTGAGGTTATGGTGGGGGACGAGGGTGTTGCGGTTGCAGTTGGTGTACTTCCTGGCTCAGCCGTCACCGAGGGGAAGTTTCCTGGGGTCGGCCTTCAAAGATGTTGCGGAGAGCCTGCCAAGGGGGGAGGACCTTGTGGTGGTAGGAGACTTTAATATGATAGAAGACCCCATCCTGGACAAGTCAAATATGCAGGGGGTGACAGGAAATAACTGCCGCATGATGCAGATGTTGGTGGACTTCCATGCGAAGAATGCGTTTGGGAAGCTGCAAGTTCACTTTCTACTGCAAGTCGGCGAAAGTCAGCTTGCGGATAAATAGGGTGCTAATATCGCAATCCATGCTGCACCTGGTGGCAATTGCGGCGCACAAGCGGATACCGTAAGGGATCACGGATCACAAATTTGCGGTGAAGATGAGGCTCGGATGGAGAGGCCCACGAGAAGCAGGTCCAGGGATCTGGCGGTTCCCGGCATGGTTGGTAAAGCGGCCAGGTGTAGCGACGGTGCTTGCGGAGGTGGTTCGGAGACACTGCGAAAGGGGGAGCGGGGATTTTGATAAGCTGTCAAGGAGCCTGGCAGCTCGACTGTGGAGATATGACAAAGAGGAGTGGCGACGGGTAAAGCATACTAGAAAAACTTTGGAAGAGCAAGTGGAAAGGCTACAGCACAGGGCAATGGCTGACCCGTGTGATGACGAGGTGCAGGCGCTGTTGACCAGTCATGAAGCAATGCTGCAAAGATATTGGGATGGTAGGAAGAAACTGCTGCAAATACGGACAGGGCTCAAGGTGCAGCTGGAAGGGGAAGCTCCAATTAGTTTTCCGACAGTGCTGGTCAAGAGCCGGAAACCAAAAACAGGAATGAAGGAGTTAGTGCGGAACGGGGTCAGCCAGACGAATTCACGGGAAATTCTGGAGGCGGCTACTTGTCATTTCAGGAAGGCATTCGACGAGACCTCCGCGGGTGTTTCCGTGCAGAGGCTGGAATGGACGCTGAGGAAGACGCTGGAAAAAGCATCAGCGGAAAATCTGACAAGGGATTGGTCGGAGAAGGAGGTCAAGCAGGCGCTCAGGGAGCTGGCCAACGACAAGTCACCAGGTCGTGATGGGCTGCCCAGGGAGTTGTTCCAGCGTTACTGGGAGCTCTTACGGGAACCGGTGATGAAGATGGTCGGGGAGTTCGCCGCGATAGGTAAAATGCCGGATGTTGCAAACGAGGCGGTTACTATCCTGCTGTACAAGAAGGGGGCAGAGATGGACATTAAGTAGTATAGGCCGATCACGCTGCTTTTAAGGTGTAAAAAATCCTGGCAAAAGTAGTGGCAACGCGGATGAAAGCGGTGCTAGACCAGGTGATTTCGAATGAGCAGTACAGGTTCTTACCTGGAAAAAGATTGAAGCAGCCCAGAATGAGAATAGTGACTGGCACCTCCTTCTGACTCAGTGCAAGAGGGCGTACGACTCAGCGCGCAGAGATTTCATGGTGGAGACAGTTGCCAAGTTGGGTTTCCCACCGCGGTTTGTACGGTGGATTGAGGCCCAACACACTGATGTACACACGAGGCTGTGCATTAATGGGTGGATCGGAGAGCAAATCACGATGCGAAAAGGAGTGCGGCAGGGTTGTCCGCTTGCGCCATACCTTTTCCTGTGTGCGGTGGAGCCTCCGAGCCAGTTGGTAGAGGAGAGACAGTTGGGGATCGGAGAAGGAGGCTGTGACAGGTTATCGTATGTGGGGTATGCATATGACACAACCCTGCTGTTGGATGGAGAACAACAACTGAAATACGCGGGAGTACTGTTGCAAGAATACGCGGCGCTGTCAGGGCTAAAAGTGAATATGGGGAAGTCTGCGGTCCTGCCATTGGGGAGGAACGTGGGAAAACAGGCGCCTGGCGGACTGGAATACAAGTGGGTAGGGGAGAATGAGATAGAGAGGCTACTCGGAGTGTGGATATCACCGGGGGGGAATGCGGAGGCAACATGGAAAAAGGCCTTTGACAGAGCGGCGGGGGAGTTAAGCAAATGGAGCACCAAGTATCTCATAACGGGAGCACGTATGACAATTATCAACAGCTATGTGCTGCCGATCTTCCTCTTTCAAGCACCAGTGTACCCGTCGGAGGACCTGCTGTGGAGGAGAGTGGAAAAGCTGATTGAAAATTTTGTGTCCATAACCATGCAGACACGGAGCGGCGCTTCAGGCTCTGGGGCGGGGATCTGATGTACACAATGAGGGAGCAAGGGGGACTGGGAGTGATAGACCCGTGGGGCGCATTGATAGTGTGGCACTGAGGTGTGCGGGCTTGGCGTTGCAACAGGAGTGTCCGCTCAGGAGGGGGTTGTCGGAACGAGTGGCAGGATTAACTCTTGGCTGGGCAACGTTATACGCGCATAAGGCGGTGCTGAGAGGGGGGTTGTTCAAAAGCAAGGGGTGGGCAAGGTTGTGTAAGGCAATTTTGAAGTACACAGTGGTGAAAGTGCCGGACGTGGCGTCAAGCTGGGAAGCGGAACATGAGTTTGTGTGCTACAACAAAGTTATTATTCACCACAGGAACGCCACTTTCGGTGGGCAAAAAGGAACGAAAAAAGTTGCGGAGGTGGGAAATGCGCGAATTGGAATTAGGAATGGGACGGCACAATGGTGCTGAAGTCAGAAAAGACACTCGCAAGGGAGCCGGAGGGTAAAAAGGAGGTGGAGATGGCGCTTAAGGCGTTCAACGCGGCGCCGGAGCAGTGGCGTCAGTGGGTGTTGGCGCCCCTGATGGCAGAGGAGGAAAATAAACTAGGAGCGGGGAAGGAAAGTCTGTGATTCACTGGTGGTCCCGGCCAGAGCAAGGGACGTACTACTCCGGGTGCAAAACCTCAACTTACAAGTGGGAGAAAGGGTTTCCTTTGTGAAGGGAGGAGTGACGTGTCCGAATTGCGGTTTGGAAAAGACACTGCAGCATTGTCTGCTTGAATGCAGGAGTGTGGCACCAGGTTTCGTCCTGCAATGCTGGATGCTCCACTGATGGAGCATCTAGAAGAAGCCGGATGCTCCACTGGTGTTTGCGCATCGGTTGCTTCTGTATGTCAATTCCTCTCGCCCCGAGCGCCATACTGTGACTCTGGTTCTGCGTACACCATGCAGATCTTGCACCTCATGAAAGGACAACCTTCAGAATTGTTACTGATGATAAGGCAAGGGGAGTGGCGATGCCACTGTTCCTTAGCTTTTAGCTGCAGCTCCTCTAGCATCAGAATCGAAGGACCGGGCTTCTTCTGCTCCACGACCCGCCCATCCATCATCCTTAGTAGCAGGAGAAGGGCTTGGGCGATTCGAAAAAGAAAGATTATGTTGCACATTTTTAGTCTTGCCGAAATACCGCCGCGGAAGGAATGACGAGAAGATTTGAAGGGATTGTTTTCAGCAGGAACAACAGATGCGGCAGGTTGACCAGATGACGATCCCCCAGGGAGGCTCGTTGAGCTTGGTGATCTAACGGGGGAAAACGGTATAAGCGGCTCAGCATCCATCTCAGCGAAAGGGTAAGGCTACTCAGGAGAATCTGGTTTCTCGTTCTCACCGACCGAAGGAGCAACATGAGCAGTTGAGACTGGAGGTGTGGTGAAACGCACCAGTGCGTGGGCGTGGGTGTGGCGCACTGGAAGGTGGCGGTGAAGCGTGCTGAGTGGATGCTGGAGGGGCCTTCGTGCGAGAGTCAGAGCCCATTGTGGTGGAACTACACACTAGGTGGCTCTCGCCCGCGAGGGTAAAATTAACAACACCACAAGATGTGCCAGCGGGGTGAGTGCGGCGCATTTGATGTGCGGTGTTGTCACCGACCAGAGGCAACGTACAGCCTGGCGGTGGCAGCACGGTAACGCGGCGGGTGGCAAGACTCGTCGGGAACAGTGGGCAACAGGGCATGTGGGCACCTCGCCATGTGGACTGGCTAGGTGGGCGAAGTTGTCAGTTTCAGATGAGAAAAGACTCGTTGTCTGTAGTATCAGACGAACAGTATAAGTATGTATAAGAATTAAGATAAATTTGAAAACCTTGTCTATAAAATCAGTTGAGTTTAAGGAACATGTGTAGGCCATCAAATGATCCCTTAAAAACGTGTCTAAAATCCAGACAAACAGACAAAATGTTTCCGATAACGTAGGTCCTGCATGCGAACGCATTTTTGAGTCTACTCGTGAGCCGCTCTCATGCAACGACTTCCACTTCCTATTTACTCTGGAATCTGCCGCATAATAAATCAAGTGTAGTGCATCCCTACACATAACATGTGCTAAGGGGTGTTGACTATGAAGATGACAAGTTAGGCGAGTCGAAGCGACGAAAGCGGTTGTCAGTTAAAGACTGATGCAGACACAGATATTTGAATGGGAAATGGCAGTAACAAGTTCGAAATGGTTTTCCCGCACCGCCCGGTAGGAATTTGTTGCAATAAGGGCATGTACCCCTTTGAGTATAGGCTTCTTTTTGCATTCCTTTGAACTTCTATATAAACCCATGAATGTCATTGTTATAATTAATTCGATCATTTTGCATTCAGTGCGACTAGGAGTCATTCATTTCCGCTACAATATCATTCGGTTATCAACCCTCAAACGATCAGTGCAAAGTTCCCGTGGGATTGTAACATGTATTGAAAGCGACTCAAGTCCATTGTACACCCATTTTTGAGACTCTATGCGATCCAAAAATGGCGAATGGCACACACTCATCTGTCAGGACGGCCAGAGAATCTGGTGGCCAAACATATCCGGCAGCTAAAGCGCAGAAGCACGGTTCTTTACGGGAAGGATTTTTACTCATAGAACTTTAAATTGAAGTTGCTATAGAACCTGCGCAGATTTATCACTACTTTGACGGTTCCTGCGCATGATTGGTGACAGACACCGAAGGCGCCAAGGCTGAGTACTACTCAGAATCGCATATGACCTATAGCGTGCTGCTAAGGAATATGACACCCGCGAAGCAACTCGGCATTCGTTCCTTCAAGGAGAAACCGGCTTCTGCAACTGGAAGCTTGGGGAACCTCGCGTAGATGTACTAGCCGAGGACTCAGTATCATCGAGCAGGCTCCTGCAACAATTACTAGAAATCAAGATGGGGCATGAGGAGAAAGCAAATTAGTATTTAAATCGTTGTCGAAGAATTCGCGACCAAATTGCGAAGCACGGGAGCACCATCTCTAAGAAATCTTTGTCACCATTGTGCTCGTCGAACTCTGGTAAGAGTGGAGGCCTTGCAAGGCACTTCTTCGACAATACAGAGCCATCTCAGAAGCTGCCTTTTAGTCCACGCTTCTCATCGAACAACAATACATGTAATCCAGCAATACAAACTCAGCGGCGCAACGAGAATACCTCACCTTCTACACTGGCAATTAAGAAGATCGACGACTACCAAAGCGAAACCTTAGGGCACTCTTCTGAGAGATGCAAATTCTACTCCAAAACACGACACCCAAATACAGCTCACCCGAAGTATTGGGACAACTCACAAGCATAATCTTAAAACAACTCACACACACAATCTTAGTACAGCTCAGACGCCATCTTATGAGTGGTACTAAGACTAAGTGCGTTATTTAGCGTTTTAAGGAAGAGTAAGTGCGACGACAAGCGCGACGACTACGCTATGTCAACGTGGTAACTAGGTGAATATGAGAATGAATGAGTAGGAAAGAAGCATACAGCAAGTTATAACCGGTGAACCCTAACTGAATCTCAGGTCAAGAATGTACGCCTAGAATAACAAATATAAGCTGTAGCAAATATAGCTTGACATACGCCCATAGTCTAGGTCACAGTAATCTAGTGGAAGCTACACATATATTGCAGGGTGGATCTCAAGATCACAACGCAGTATGAGAACAAGCAAGAGGCCTCAAGGCTAGTGCACATGCAAGGATATAGAAAGTATATGAGATGCAAGAGTACAAGAAAAGCAAGACGAATATCTCCATAAAGGCAAGGGGCCACAAGGCCAGTCCACAAGCAGAGATATAGAAAACATAGCGAGATGCAAGGGTACAAGACAACGCCTCTCTACGCAAGCGAGGGCCTGTAGACACAAGGCCCTGCTGGTTGCAGAATCGCTGGTGATCACGAAGCGGCAATCCCTTGGTGAAGATATATGCAATGTTGGCCTCAGATAGCACACGTCTCACGAGTGCCTGGCCACGTTGGTGCAACTCGCGCAAAAGGAAGTATCGGAGCTGTATTTGCTTCACCTTCCCAATCAATCAGAGCTCCTCGCACAACAGGAT